CTGAAACACTCCATAGCGAACAAGACACTGGGTGCAGCATCTTTGTGAGAAACCATCAGAGTGAGTCGTGTTTGGTCGCAGGGGAGGAGATCCGCACCTCATCACTCTCCTAAGAATAACTCTCCCAAGCCGCGAGGCGCTCACAGCGGGCGGAGATTTTCCCCATCTCCCCCCGCTGCCAGCGCCACCGGCTTACAGTTAGTTGATTGCTTACACTTGATTACAGTCACTGCTTACAGTTGATTTTATGTCGGAAAGGACCCTTAGTCGTGTTCGCTGTGGATGCTGGCGCGTTGGGTTTCGCGTGGCGCCAGCCCGTTTACTATCAACTGTTTTCGCTTGCCCGCTTCAAAAATTGGCGGGCTGGGCTGGCACCGCGCCAAAGCTGATTCCTTTGACACGCCGCAGTATCCGCAGCGGACCATACTATAAATGCAAGTACTTGGCGTCAGCTGACTTTGAAGTGTCGATGCTTTTTCTTACCTTTGTTTGTATACAGCAAAAAAAATGAAGCCGCAGGTACGGACAATCGAATATTTGGCACGTTTCATTCCATGATGCGCTTTGTCAGCTCGCATACCACCCCATTTCTTAAGTTCTTAGCCTTCAAAAAGCCGCGAAGATCATAAAAACAGAAGGGCATTGCCAAAAGCTAAGTGGTTTCAGATGTGCGAGCAGACGTGCAATCGAGACGCAATGTTGGTCTGTCGAAGGACTATGACGGACGATGATCTGCAACAAGAGCAGGTTAGGAAGCATAACCTCCCACACCGGATCAGGAGTGGATCAAGAGATCCGAATGGCAACGAAAGCAGCGCTGCAAACCGCGGCGTATAACAATTGACTGGCTTATATTCACAGCGTTGTCGCCACTCGGATCTCCTGACCCACGCTCTTAACGTGCACGCGGTGCCAGTCTTCTTCATGATTTCCGCAAATTAAAAGCCAGGTTTTTGATCAAAGTATGTGCCTGTTCAGAGTTACATCACAGAAGCTTCATCAATTTCTCAAGCTTATACTTTTGGAGGCGATGAGACGTGTGAGGACTTCCGTAAAGTTCTTGCTAAGGTGGGTGCTTTCAAACTGAAACAGATTACCGAGCTCCATGGGTGAACTTAGAGGCACAGTTCATGCAGCACAGGAGAGGGAGACATTGTCAGTGTCCTTTGGAGAAGTGAAGTGGACCACATCTCCCGGGTTCGTGGTCGCAATAATAGACTGCGGTTTGTGGTCGCAATAAGAGACCTCAGGATGTCTCTCCGCTCCTTATCCAGCGTATACTGAACCCCAAAAATGCAGGTCTGGCGACGGTCTGAGCCGAGAATAGCAAGCATTGTGCCCTTCTTATTAGGCACCACTTTTGTCTACCCTACGGAAATAGGGTCACCGACGGGGCACGTCGCATGCTGGGGAATCTCTAGCGAGCGGAGAGTCGCATTTGTTCGCTGTAGGGAAAGAGAGGTCGTATTCGGCCCGAGAGAACCTTTTTTGATAGTTAGTTTTTCCTGTTCCACGCCCGCTACTCACAACGCTGTAGGCGCTCCGATCCTTTAGGCTGCGTTTATACAGTCCTCATCATTGCGGACCGGTGGGGCGTGTCAGCCAGAAGGAGTGCGCACACTGTTGAAGCCGTTCTCAGCCTTTTTTGTTGCAACGCGTATGCGACAAAAAGTGGTAGAAAACGAGTAATACGAAGGAATAATAC